AGTCTTTGATGGCCACAAACTAGGTACATTATTTGTTGATTCCCAACCCATCGACTGGCTTCACAATCACTTCTGAGATAATCATGTTGTTTCCTTTTGAGGGTCTTCTAGAAGAATCAAAAGTGGAAAGAATCTTTCTAGAAGATTCCAGAAAAGAATATTCTTTTTTTAATCAAACAGCTGGAAGCATGAGTAATTTTGGTTTGACAGTGTGACAGCTGACATGAATATAATAACCTACTCTGGACAATTTTGCCTTCATTGATAATTTGGAGATGATGATTTGAAGTTTGAACTAAATATCCAGAATAAAGTATCAAAAATTTTCATGATGCTGTTTTTGTATATGGATGACTTAGATTTAAGATATTTTTTGTTCTTTCCAAGCTTATTGCTGGTGTCCAGAATTTTTTCCTTTGTAACCAAGTTTTTGAAAGTTCAGTATTAATATGTAAAAAAATGAGTTTGTGATTGTACTAACACATAACTATCACCCAGTTAGGGGACCATGAAATGAGATTCTCTTTTATATAGCACACAGACTGTGAATGTCAAGTGAATTGATTTCTACTCAACTAAGAGGCCACTACCACCTCATCTGGGGTTTCTTCATGTTTGCCAATCTTTAATGGTGTCAATTTGAGGTAAATAACTAGAATTAAACAACCATGTTAATTAACTTTTCTCACAGGCTGCAAGCTGGGGTGAACTTCTGGCACAATGATGACTCGTGATTAATGCAAAGTCCAATGAAGTAATACTGTAATATGGAACTTCCATTAATTTAGCTGTGTGCAGACTGACACAAAGTTACTGTCATTGTCTTGCAGGTGAATGGGTTCCCCTCGCTGGTTAACTGGAAAAGGCTTTATGACAATGATACATGACTCGGTCAACTTCATCAGTCATATTTGGTTCCGAGATCACAACTTCTCAACATATTAGAACTTCATTATAGACTTGGAAGCCTCCCATCTGTCAAAAAAGGAAGAGCACCACATTGGCTCATATTGCAGCTGTTGATGCATCTTTAATAGAGAGGTAGGGTCAAAAAAGGAATGCCAGATTCTCGGGTTTCAAATCCAAGATAAGAAAAGTTTGTCCTGCTTACATCAAATTTTTTACAACTTGATATGATAATATACAGGTACTTGCGAAAAGTGTCGGTTTTGCTCTTTAAATGTAGTTGATATCAGTCAACCTATATCGACAATTTTATTCTGAAAGGTGTCTTAGCTTCATGTGCTGATACCTCATCTTTGGATGCAGACAAACATTATGTTTTCACATTCTGGATTACCAGAAGAGGCTTCTGCACAGCATTTTGAATCTCCCAGCAGTTCATTCAATGTAGGATCTTTCGAGTGTCGAAACTAATATTTTGAATTCATTCAGTGCAAAAATGAAATAATTTCCATATGCATTTGTATGCGAACAAAGAAGGTTGGTAATGATGTCGAACTGACAGTGGTCAGTAACACCAAACCGTGAAATGTAATTAAATTATCTTTTTTGAACTGTTCTCGATAGCTGAAGACAGCTGCTCTATCTTGGATTAACAGCGTCTATGACATGCATGTATATCCAGAAGTTTTGTTATCACCATCCTCCCTTTCAGAAGTAATGGCTTATCATCCATTGAGGAATACTTTATTAGTCTTTAAGTGGCATTACAGCTGGTTTTAATTGAAAATTATATAAAAGACTAGCAATTGCTTTACCATATAATTCTGATATTACAAGTTTTTGTTATTGTTACTGTTTATATTTTTTTTTTGCAAATATTTATAAAAATAAGAGTTAATTAAAAATTACTCCTTTTTAGTTAGTTACTTCTAGTATCATGATCCTTATATTTAAAAAAAAAATATATCGTCATCCTTATGATTACAAATGTGAAATAGTTATGTCTATTCATCTTAACATGCCATGCCAATTTTACTAATGGAAAAATAAAAGTAAAGAAAAAAAAAAGATAATTTTAATATTCTAGTTGATGGTGGCAGACAACGACATCGCTAGAGGTCGCGGGTGATTATTGCATATGAGGAGAGCGACGACGAGATGTGAGAGTCGCTTAGTATTTGCATTAGTGTAGACTCCAATACAAAGTGGTGTTGCTTGGCAATTGCATCAACGACGATGTAAATGTAGAGCGATGTCGCTTAGTAACTACGTCAACACAGATGGAGAGCGGCGTCGTTTCGCTTGACAATTATGTTGACATTAACGCGGATGCAAAGTAGCCCTCAACTCTCATCGTCATTCTCCTTATTCACAATAATCACCCGTGGCTCCCAACGGTATCACCATCCGTCACCAACAACTAAAACATTAAAAATATCTTTTTTATATTTTATCTTTATGTTTTCGTTAATAAAACTGATGGTGTTAGGATAAATGGAGATAGATATTTCACTTTTGTAACTATTGAGATATTAATATAATTTTTAAGATGTAGGGACCGAAATGGTAAAAGTATTTAACCCAATGGGATAATATATAATTAGTCCTAAAATAAACTAAACAATGAGACCAAAAATGATAAGGATAAAAACTAAGGACTAATTTCACACTCTCTCTTTGTTGTTACAATGCATTTCATTTATTTATCTCTTTGTTTAAAGCCTTTAATCTCTAATTTAATTTAAACCCACCCTCTGCTAATTCTAACAGGATTAGGGTCCGAGATTTCGGATCCGACCCGAAGAACAAATCCGCAAACGATGGTTATAATGCGAACCAAAGAAACAAGAAGCAAAAGAGAGAGCGGAAGTGACGGCGATGGCTATAACACGTAACCCGATCCTCCGCCACCACCTCCTCCTCCGCCGCCACCACCTCCATAAGCCCCACCCATCCCCTCGCCACTACCATTCCCAGAACCATAGCGGGAGCCGGATCCCTGATCCACCACCACCACCTCCTCTTCCATAGCCTCCACCAGTTCCCTCGCCACCACCATATCCAGACCCGTATCTCGACCCACGGCCAAACCCTGAGCCATCGCCGCCACCACTAGCCGCAGGGCGAATCGGTCTCCCCGCAGCAAAGAGCTGAAGGCAGAGCAGCAGCAAAAGTGCAGCGGCCAAGCCTTTTGTTCCGGCCATGGCCTCCAGGACTCGGTTGGGCCCGAGAAGCCGCGGCGACGTAAGGCGGTCATAAATAGAGAGCTCTGCATGCAAAAGTTCAAGGAGGCGAGACACGGGAATACGGCGCTGGAATCCACTCCATGTTGCGTCTCCTGTGCGGACTCGTGGCACGGCAGTGGAGTCGTTGAAGAGACGCTTTTATTGGTTTGGAGCGAAGTGGAGTGAAATGACTCGAGGATTTTACCGTCGTCCTCCGGCTGCTGCCGCTTCGGCGTGGGCTAATTATATTTTTTTTTTAGTTAACTTTTTTTAGTATTTTACTTTGTATATTTAAAAAAAAATTATATTGATATATATATATATATAATATCTAGATCTATTTAATTTAATGTCATTGATTTTATCAAAAAAAATAAAAAAAAAATTTAACATTCTAGTTACTAGTGATGGATGATGTCAACGATGACGGATAGCAACGTAATTAGTTATCGATGCAAATATCGAATGAACCTTTTATCTTTAGGCAATTGTGTTGGCATCGACGCAGATGTCGAGCAGTCATTTTGTCGTTTGGTAATTGTGTCGGCGTAAATGTCGAGCGGCCCTTTTCGTCGCTCGACAATTACGTTTGTATAAATATAGAGGCAGAACAGTTTTCACCTCTCATCGTCGCTCTATTTATTTACAACAACCACCCACAGCCTTCACTTATGCTATCGTCTATCACCATTAACATCGTCCGTCATTACAAACTGAAATATTAAAATTATTTTTTTATTTTTTATTTTTTTTTATATTTTTATTAGTAAAATAAATAATATTAAGATAAATAAACGGGTAGTGAAGACGCATTGCTTTTGTAAGCCTTGTGCGTCGGATCATTCTTTTTTTTCTATTATTTTAAAGATTACTGATTGCAATTTTTTATTACTTATGATCTTATTTAAAAAAAATTTAATATCACTAAATTATCCCCTACTAATGAACATAAATATCATTTTGTTCCTATTATTTTTCTTTCTCGAAACTAAAGACGGAAGGGACGGCGAGTGGTGTCCGTAGCCAGCGGAGTCGGCCGCGCCGTCGACAGCTGCGATTTACCTGAACTGAAGATTTATAGTATTATTATAACGTATTTATATTATCATTCGCTACTAAAAACAGCAATGTCAGGATGGCCGAGTGGTCTAAGGCGCCAGACTCAAGTTCTGGTTCTCGTTAGAGAGCGTGGGTTCAAATCCCACTTCTGACATTATATATTTTTCGGTTTACCTGAACTGAAGATTTATAGTATCACTATAACGTATTTATATTTATCATTCGCTACCAAAGACAGCAACGTCAGGATGGCCGAGTGGTCTAAGGCGCCAGACTCAAGTTCTGGTTCTCGTGAGAGAGCGTGGGTTCAAATCCCACTTCTGACATTATTCTTTTTATGGACCCCACTTGCAATATTTAAGTAAGATATAAACACTATATTATTATTTTCCCTATTAGATCCCACTTCTGACATGAAACGAGCGTACGTTTATATTCATGGTGTTCGTTTTCCACCTCGTGGGTGCCATTTCTCATGATAAGTCGTCTTCAAGATAGTGAGATGCTTGTTTAAGGTTTTATTTTAGTATCTCATTTATTATTTTAGTATATCATCTCTCACCTCACATCCAATGAAGTAAGAATTTATCGCTCTTGCTGTTCCAACGAAAATAGTTAACCCAAATTAAAATATCTATTTATCGATTGAGTAGAATCTTCTCACGCTACTTTTATATGCATCAAACATCATCATGTCACGAATTGTCAACATTCGAGAGTGTTGATGGATCATCTGATAGATTTGGTACAAAAAATAAACCTGCTACAACGAAGTGAAAAATTCTTCAGCAAAGAAAGGCCAGGCAATGCTTAAAGATACATCTCACGATAACGTGCTATTAGATTTTAGGATAGCCTTAACAAAGTCTGTAAACGGCAAAACAATGTACAACTTTCTTAAACCTTGCACCTGAGAATGTGAAATATGACAGTCCAAACTAGTATGGGGTAAAAGTGAACAATGGATAGTTGGAACTTAGTTCACAGGGGTTCCCATGAATACAGAAAGCATTATGGCATTGTGTCTGGAAGACATTGCGGATGAAGCAAACCAATCTAAATTCTTGTCTTCCTGTCCAATAATAAGAAGAAAGGATGTTTTTAACTTTATAACAGTTTGAGAAACTACATCTGATTTAAATGTAGGAGATGGCGGGGGTGGGCTCACACAGTAGTTCTTAGTTGGATTTGCGGTCGCTTGTCCGCGACGAGGATCGTTCCCTGCGCCTCCTATGAGATTCCCTTGCATATGGTGAGTAGGATCGGTCTCGCCGACCCCTTGAGCGTGAGCGAGAACGAGTGCGTGATCGCGAGCGATCCCTACGACGTGACCAGTATGGTGAATAGCTTCGAGAGCGCCTACGATCACGACCTGCCAGATGAAGAAAAGAAAAAAAAGATCACCATGATATTAGAACAATCAGACAAGTAAACTGATACAACGCAATCTGACAGTGGATTTTGTTGCATGAAACCAGCACAATGGTACATAAAGGACCATTGCTGCAATTAGTCCTTCAAATTACCATGCACTTAATTAAAATGCACAAACAGCACCAACAACTTTTGCTGCTGCCATCTTTGTTCAGACCGTTCATTCCTAATAATTCTCAATTTCTTCAATAACGAAAAAGTGTATCAAAGTGAGTTTTAGCTGAGGATTTAATTCAGCAAAGTTTCGATGTTATGAACATCAAATCTAGCAATCTGCAAAGCATCCTAAATGACAAAAGGTGTCCAAAAGGGTGACCGGACAAACTGAAACAATAGAGGTTATTTTAAATAAACAAGAGATGAAATGTCACATACAAAGGCCACTCCCTGTCACATTTGAATATTATAAATAACAGAGATTAGATTGCTCCAAAACTTTTCACATTTGAATATTATAAATAACAGAGATAGAAATTGCATCTGCATGGTAATTGTTGGTTCTGGGAAAAGTCTATATTCATCAGTTCACTAACTAAATTTAAAAATGAGATTCAATCAATTATCAATACTAACCTTATGAGAAAGTATGACAGCAAAAGCAATTGATCATCCTAATAGTTTGAGTAATGGCAAAACTTTTGGCTCTAAAGAGGCCAGCATAGTTTAAGAACAAGGAAATAACTACAATATCAGCAACATAAAGAATTATTCAATTACTTACAGTGCACGTATAAATAGGTACATTCAGAAACGAGCAATATATAACAAAAAAGCAGTACATGCATGAATCATTTTTTGAGAAGAGCACAAGGACATCAGATACAGATGAACAAAATATGTACCTCTTCTTTCTCTGGCACCACGATACCTTCCAGGAGTTGGTGTCCTTCCACGCTTCCTTTTTGCCTGCCATTGAAACAACAAAAAGAACAGAGTGAACAGGTAAATATGAACTGTACCATACGGAATATGACACTTATAACTGATATTGCACAGCATTTAGTAAATTAGTGAGAACAGCAGGCAGTGAAGTTGCATTTCATTGTTAATATCTCCATTTTGTAAATTTGGTACAGAACCATGTAATTCTGGTACACTTGCAAGCTATGATAAAAGAATGTGGTTATTCAGTCTCTTGAGAAAAGTCAAAGCACCTTTCTTATAATTGTTTTATTATTGATGTATCAGTGCAAACCCAAAAACAAAAATGCAACCAAAACCAATTAAATATTACAGCAGGACATAATTTTATTGGGCATACCAGAAGATGTTAATAATCAGCGTAAAAAAGGAATACACGGCATGCAATCCTCTATAATAAAGTCGAATTTTCGTGACTTCGATATGTCGATGTAGTGCTCAGGTTGGGATGGGGAGGTCAGACTGTTAAGAGCACATATGGATATTTCGATGAAGCTACACAACACCAAACCTGATGCCAAAAGTTATCAGGCAACACATCTCGAGATGAAAAGAAGCAACGTGCTATTACGTAAAAAAATAGGCAATGTTACATAACACTATCTAAGAAACAAAGTTATGCTACCTTCTGCACTGTGATTAAACGGCCTTCAAGTACAGAACGGTTTAGGTACTTAACACAGCGCTCGGCACCTTCCACAGTCTCCATTGTTACAAAACCAAAACCACGAGATTCCCTTGTGCGAGGGTCCACAATCACATGGCATTCCGAAACCTTTACAACATGCAAAGTTTCATTTAGTGAAATAGAAATGTCAAAAGTTAAAATTAAACAATATACCTGGACTTCCATTCATACTTGTAAAATTTCTAAATTACACTTATTTCCATAAAAAGTATGTACCAATAATTTCCAACAAATAATTAAGCAACAAATGTCAGTATGATAGCATGGACCGAACTTCTACCAGCTCAGCCATGGACTGGCATGGGTCTGATACGCAAGATTGAAAACTTTGCATACATCTACATACTACGTGTTGGACCTTAATTTATAAGTCAGAAACCTTCTGGCGATCACATCCATCTGACCTTGACAAAACTGTTAAGCAAGTTTTAGCATACAAAAGTTGCAACATAACATCTAATGAATGAATGCTAAAGAAAATTTTCCAAAAGTTTGCATGCTAATATTCACTACTAAAATCTTTAGTATGACAATATATATGTATCAGCAACTCACATTCGACAACGAAAAGTATTAAAACTTCATTGAAGTCATACCTTTCCTTCTTTGCTAAAATATTTCTCAAGGTCACTGCTGCTTACTCGTGTGGATAAGCCTGTTACATACAAGTTGTTTCCAGGATTACTTGAATCAAAATCTTGGCTCCTGTTACATACACACAGTTATGCAAAATGCATGTCATTAGCACAAAAAAATAACAAAAAACCACCTTACTCTTTCGTAAACAACAGGTAAGGTCAGCAGCAAGAGAAGTAACTCATAAAAAAGCACACCAAGTGCACGAGGCTCTCGCCAATATGGGGTCTAGGGAGGGTCAATGCACACAGCCTTACCTTTAAATATTTAAAAGAAGCTATTTTTGTGACTCGAACCTTGGTCTTCCGGATCATAAAGGAGCAACATTACCATTGTACCAAGGCCTGCCCTCAAGAGAACCAACTCATAAAATACCAAAATTCCATGTACCTGGAGCGACTCCTCGACCTTGATCGAGATGGAGTTATTGATTTGCTACGTCTACTTGGGGGAGGTGTCACTGATCGAGAAGTATACCTGAAGAAAGCTATTCATTGTTGGAAGGGGAAAAAGGTTGATACAGAAGGTACGATCAACTGCACCAGTGATTTTGAAAGCTGCTTACCTCACTTCTTTTGTTTGCGACATCTATGAAAACAGTAGAAATATAATGTTAAAATCTCTTAAATTTACCGAGAATCTAATTATACTGATAATATCCCAAATTCCATGAAACAAGCACTAAAATCACTATTTTTGGTACATTTGTTGTAACTCAATTAAAAACAAGAACATGAGCACAGCATTTTAGTTCATACAAGATCCTACTACTACTTTAACTCGGTCAATTAAAGTACCAAGTGCAATTGGATTTTCATCTTTCAAAAAAGAATCACACTATACTTTCTGGAAAGAATTAATATTTACTTCTACAAATCATAACCATATCCATGAAACAGAGGATAAATAAGATTGATAGGTCAAAACCCATAGTTCATTCTCATTAGAAGTAAGCTTATACCAGTAGTTTTCCCTCTCTGATATACATGTAACGAGTCTAAAAAACAGACCTAGAGATCGAGTAAAGTTAGTTAGAGATTTAAGTGTAAACTTCAACCAAAGTTAGATTCAATCAGACAAATTTCAGCCTCGAAGAGCAGGAGGCCATCTCTAACTATTAGAGAAGAAACAAACGAAAAAATTTGAGGGAGACAATACGGGTGGAATGCCTGCAGCCCAAAAAAATACGTTTTAATTCACAATACCAATTGAAATGTACTGATCTTTGTGCTTGTGCCCCTTCCTTTCTTAAACATCAACTAAAATTCTTAGGACTCATGCAACATTTTACAAAAGAAGAGAAAAACAAACAAGAGGAAATGAAACATGTACTACCAGCTGACCAGCACTCCCAGTTATTCAAGCTGCACTGTCTTTCCTAACAAGATTTTGGATATTGGTTAAAGGAAAGAAATGGACAGGCAATAAATAATTTCCTCCCCAAATAAAACTCCAACTAAGACCACATGTCTATCATTCCAACTCAGTTCCAATATCAAATTCTCTTATCAAAGAAAAAGTTAGTGTCTGGATTTACAAGTAAGGATAGCATTGGGTTGTCCTGGCACATATTGACTCCCCATGAATAAGTTGACTTAGTGACTTCTGCAAAGGATTATTTTGTTTATCAACTCTCCAAACAGAAAATAGACAACCAATATAACCAAAATATGTGACATCTTAAACTTAAGATACAAAGTCAAAGTAGTTTCATCCATGGGGCCTCATATGCCCCTCATCAGGTCTGGACCATCTGATAGCCAATACTGGCAAAGAATTAGATCCCAGAATAGTGCTGAAAACCTCGAGTTCCAATGACTCGTAACAAATATCTGAATGTTCAAATGCATCATATCACAAGAAAAATTTACATGCCAAAGCTTATTTCATGGTCAAAGAAAGGGAACCAAGTCAAATAAATCACCATAACTCCTCTAGCACTTAGGTCTTTGTCACTACTGTATGTCAACTTATTTATCAACTCTCAAAACAGAAAATAGACTGAACCAATATAACCAAAACATGTCACATCTTAAACTTAAGATACAAATTCAAATTAGTTTCATCCATGGGGCCCTCATATCGCCCCTCATCAGGTCTGGACCAT